TATTCCGACAACTTTTGTTATTGGGGATATGTATTCGTCAACTGCTTTGTAAGCAGCCAGACGTTTAGCATCATCAATAAGAGAGGACATCGAGAATTGACGTCGAGATAAATTCCTGAAGAACATCGGCAAATGAGGCAATTCTCCAAAGTAACGTGACACTGAAATTAATATTAAATTAAAATGTGGCGTCCGCGATTTTTCGTGGCGTAGGAATGAAAGGAAAAATGCTTAATTCATTAATTCGCTTTTAAGATATCATACTTATTCAATTTCATTTAACCAAAAGTTGTTTATATGTGAAGCAATTTTCGCTCATAATGCTATAAGCAACGTATGCATGCGTTTATAACTTTTGAGAAATGGCTGCTTGTGTCAAAAATAGAAACATAAGACGCTATCCCTTTAGTGGGATAACCTCATACTCTTTCTATTCCAGCAGCAATTTGCCTGAACGTATTATTAGCGAGAAACTGAATCGTATCATTGCCAATTTGTAATCATTATAGGTGAGAGCATTATCTTCTGAAAATAAATTTTCAATTATGTAAAAATATTATTTTGTAGGATATTAGTATATAATCTCCTGGAATCGACGCCTTATAAATGGTCCAAGTCATTCTTAGTGACTTCATTTGTCTATTACTCATTGAAGTAAATGATGTGGTACTGTGGATGTAATGACTTTCCATATTATCATGTTTAATCTCATAATCTCCCAATATACATAAAAAATAATCATCTTCTATGCAAATACACTGAAGACAACTAATACTTGTAAATAGTATACAAAGAATTGCAATAATATCATTGAAATTGGATGCCATTTTCTAATACTCAATAATGATACAACCAAGCTCTCTTGTAAAAAAGCTTGTTATTGTTCAAAGTGAATGCGTCTATTGACATAATATAATTATACTCTTAACTTCTTAATCATTTCCTGTACAGCATTGTTTCAACCCGTTTCTTCCGTCTTTCACGGAAGAAATTGCGACGTCTCTCGATCTCTTTACGAGTTATATCACAACCCACTTTCCGTCGACGGAAACATATCTAAAAAGAAACGAGTTAGTTATCTTTTAAGAACGCATTGGGTAAGGCACTACAAACACATTTATTACCCCCATCAGCTTGTGGCAATCGATTATGCCTTTAGGAATGTTCTGTACTGTTTGGAAGACTTCCATTGCGTCTTCAACAGCAAGAATCTTATTTTCATTCGACTTAAAGATCGCCAATGCCACCCGAAAGAGGACCTTATTTCCCTCACTCCATGAAGTCAAAAAAATTAATACAAATCATGAATCCGCTCTATAACAGAATTAGTTCATTGTATATTACTTACTAGAAGAAACAATCCCAAACTCTTAGCATCGTCTATAAAAATTAAAATCACTCAATAATATATCATCCAAAATTTGCAGACCAATCGACGTTCAAACCCGCTCGAACCAAAGATGAAAGAACAAACTAACCTCTATGGGAAGGATATGTATATACAAAGTCAAAAACCAGTGGCTCGTCACAAGAGTTATGATAGGCATATTCCCATCTAACTTTTCCATATCCCATCCAAATCCGCCACTCAGTTTATTCCATATGTGAGGCATTTTCTCCATTATAAACATCATTAATACGGCCTGATCTACATTAGATCCTTCCATTGTAACATCATACATATTTTCTGGAAGGTAATCATGTATCATTGTAACAAGAGTCCAAAAAGCTTTCTCTTCCTCCATGAATAAAAGAAGCAGACCAGCAATATAATTAAGAGATTGACAGTATCCAATATTAGGAGAGTACAAAGAGAAGGCAACGAGAACACGCCTGAGTGATTGAATCATGGGAACATTTTCGGTCGCAAGAGTTGATGACGGATCGTCTGTAACATCTGTGGTTGCTTTGAATTTGATATTTTCGGGAAATGTTCTATGGAGGTCTAGCAAATTAAAGAAGATGATAGAATGTACGGTCCTTGTCACTTTTTTTGCATAACATCGAAACTGCTGCCGTCAAATAATTACCGCGCTCAATGATTTCTGCGTATTCATTCTGTGTTTTTGGGTCCAATGATTTCATTACGAGCATGTCATATAAACCAGGATGAACTTTCATTTTTGTTTCGGCACCACTGTAATGAAACCATACCTATAATAGTTAGACTACATGAGTATCCGACTGCCGCATATGGAGTAGATTCATGTGATTTATAGATGTGAATCTCACCTGTCCGCGCAAAGAAGGCGGAACACCTTTCCTAATATATCTCTTTACTAATATGGATATAAACGAATGTAAGTAAAATACAAAACGCTCGAGCTATTTTACATGGTTATACGCGTTCTTGCTATTATGGTATATCTCAATTCACAAAACTTACTTTTGCTATTCCTACTGGGAAACAAGCCACTGTTTTCTGCCAACAGTGTATCCCATTTGATTTTACGTCTTGCTTGAATACGTGAATACACTGCTTCAAATTCTGCATACTTCTCTCGACTTATCCATTGATACGATTTCTTGAATCCATACTGATCCCTAATAAAGAAACCTCATCTATCAAAGATCTACGATATTCGAATCAAGATCAACAGTCATATATAATACTATACTTGATAACACTGTATTACTGATCATACTATGACACTTAATACATTGTTGTGCATAAATACCTATCGCTGTTCCGGCCAGCCCCGTTCACAAATCCATAGTTGAAATTAGACACATTATTCGTCATGGATGTGCTGGATGGGGTTCTTTCCAGAGTGCGAGACAGGTAACTAGGAGCTATAGAATTAGGCGACTGAAGAACATCGTCGCCATCGAAACTGCTTAGTGATGAACATCTTGTCTCAGCAATACTGCTCCCAGATGGAGATGGCGATCGATTGCGGGATCTGCTTAGTCTACCGTATGACGGAATAGCCAAGTTGTTGACATTGTCGTCTTCAGAGTGTCTACGCTCTACTTTATCACATAGTCCGCGAATGTCGGAATAGTCGTTTGCAGATGATATCTTTGGATTTTGATCTTTATCTTCGCGGCCTTCGTAGTATTGCGAGAGAACGTATTCTGGACTCGGTGGTTCTTGCGAGTGTGCGCGTTGACCCTTAGTAAAAGACGAACTCAATGGGCTTGGTTTATGAGCTGGATTATGAAATATATGAGAAGACGAGGACGAAGAAGGAAAGTCATACGAGGGTTGTCTCCTAATACTGTAATCAGTATCACGGGTACGGGTTACGTTTAGTGAAGGTCGTCGTCTAGCTGCTGTTTGCGTGTGCGTCCAAGCCGAGTTGACCGTTAGCCGTGATCCGTCGTTTGGAGGAGAGTTTGTTCTAGCATAGTCATCAAATATAGACGAATAGTAGGAATCTTTTTGAGTGTGTTCGGTGTGGTTGTTTGTTATCATTCAAACTATTTTATTGGAAAAATAAACAGGAATTTAAACAAAGTTCGAGATCGCCCAAAAGTTAAGTATTTGGAAAGTGAGGAAGTGTGTTAAGGGATTAGAGATGGCTGTGGAATGATGCGTTGTTGTCAATTTCGTAAAAAAAAAAATTATAAAAGAGAGATGGATGCTTGATAAGATGTCTTGTTTGTTTGAAGCTCGAATTCGGTAACGAGGAAAGCTGAAATGATAAGGAATGGTATGCAGTTGGGAGGGAGAAGATAATAGAGGTCAGACTCAAGTTAGATGCAGTCAAACTAAATAATTAACAGAAGGAAACCCCAAATGCAAAGCGGGAAATCGCCAATCTTATGAGCCTGTTGTGGTTGGCTCCCAACACATCATCCCTCTGCAAGCAATGCATCACGAGGCGAACAATCACCAAGTTCAGCAATGCATCTTTCCTTCAAATCAGAATTTATTCTGGGTAAGTTTGTCCCAAATTTGTTTACTTAAGGTTCCCGAATAAAAATCATTAAAAATAGATCGACTCAATGTGGATAAACAAAATTTTATAATACAAAACAAACTCAATTTTCGCCTCAGGACTGGGTTACTCCGAATTGACGAATGTTCAGTATGAACAACATTACTGAAATTACTAACATGGCAATAACACAAGATCATTTACATTATCAATGAAACTTGATTTAGTGAAAACATCGACTTATGGCAGTTTCAAATAGAGGCTATTTTTGTAATAAATGATCTAGCCGTAATTGGTACTCATGAAATCGTCAAACCAAATATATCAGACAACAAAGGAAAAACATGCAACGAGATACAGATATCAAAAAGCAAATAGTATCGTAACGACAAACAAACCAAAGCATCAGATATCATATGCAATTTCATGATGAAACATGGTAGATGCAAGTGCAATAAACTATTTAAATTTGCATTAATATTAAATCAATACCATCAAATGACAATTCGTAATTCTAAATAGTCTCTGCCAATGCATTCCGCATGCAATGGGATCTCACTCGAGTCTCACAAGTATGTCCATACATAATATATATTCTCATATGCTACGTATGATACTTCATCTCTTGACCTTAATCTCTTGATTTGGATCATTCTATCCACTTCCCAAATAACAGTTCCTATGATGTACTTTCATCATAACCTTTGGCACCGCCAAGAAAATATATAATAATTATCCATTTGGAGAATGAAAGTCTGCTGGTGAATGTGATGCAAAAATAAATGATCCAATCTGTTGTTTGGCTAGCTGTGGATCCTTCGAGAGGCTGAGAACAAAGAGAATATTAAGTGAGAAAAATGTGAAACAGAATTCAGGAGAAAGTTTAAAACTACTATACGATAGGTGAAACCATGTTATTTATCATTCGATTAAACTTTACTTACTGAGTTTGCTTGAACTTGTATTGATCGTTTTCGTACAAAAAGTATCTTGGCCTCCAATCAATTCCTTCAGCCTCACGTGTCTTTGCATCATTACGCTGAGTATCCTCTATCAATGTTTTTTCTTGTGTTGCCAAGTCCAAATTTCTACTTGCTAATGCTGATGTTACCTTCTGCCACAGTCTATAGACAAAGAAACAGGAAGGTCAATAAGACATGATAAATATATCACACGTGTCTTGCCCATAATAAATCTCTAATATGCATATTAATAATTACCTTCTTGATTCATTTGGTTCCTGTTCAGACTCTGGAGATACTATCTTTGGATGTATTTTCGCTCCATGAGCATCAAATAAAACTTCCTTTTTCCCTGTCTAAAAAAAATCCGTATGATAAGAAGAGGATATACGTCAAAACAGCCAACCAAAGGATCTTCTTATAGATTCAACTTACTTTAAGATCTTTAATATACATGATATCCGACCATTTCCCACTAATTTCGTAAAGACACTCTCCTGTCGATTCTATCTTTATTTTACCTACGATAGCATTATAGGAACCGGAAAAGAATCCCTAAATCAACCAAACATGCAGGAGAACACATTCATAATAAGTATATAAATGGAACTATATTTCAAAAGTCACGCTCGAAAGATCTCATACTATTCATTAAACTGTACCTTCGTCTTAAACTCTAGCTCGCATATCAAATCGGATTTTTCACAACGTACTACTGACGCGTCACCCAGTTCAAGTACCATCCTTCCAAACAAAATACCCCTCGCATAGACATTTGGCATAACAATAGAATAGACTTCCCCTGGACGATTTGTAAAATAGATCCTCGATTCTCCTTGCATCAGAGTTGCTGCGCTATTACCAAGAAATCTCGATTTGGGTCGAATGTCACCCGAGATAATTAAATTATTCTCGGGACTGGCATAATAATAAGCTGAAATAGGTGGATGATGGGATACTTGTTCGGATACATAATACGCTTCGGTATTGTCTGAAAATTTCCAGCAAGCGCGAAAATGTTCACCAAGGATTGGATTGTAAGGCTTCTTGACACCCTATACAGATCACACAAGGACAAATGAAAGATGTTTGTAATCAGTTAATGGGGGTAAAAGTAAGCGCTATACGATACAGCTAGCAAATAGCCTTGACATGCCAAAGAACAAGTATACTTATACATGAATGTAAAGTACCTTTGGTTTAATATGCCATCCAGATAAATAATATCTAACTACACCCACAAATCGTTTCGTCGGATTGGGTTCCTTTGGCACACTATCAACACGATAACAGAAACTCGGTTATAATAGCCATCACACCATAACATCTAGCACAAAACGTACAATAATCTTCATCTAATTCAAATCCGGGGTTCGACAACCAAATTCACACATATCAGAAGTTTTATTCGTCCACTGAAAAAACTTATATATCGAAAGATCACAACTTTTCAATTGTTCCAAGATCTACTGTTTCTCATTATCTTCCACTTAATATGGAGTTTACCTTAATATTAACTCGGGGTGACTCATAAAGTCAGTTATCCGCTCTAACATGCTGCGTGGTTCGAGCACAAAGGTAGGCAAGGTAACACGGTGCAAATCCATACCTTTGCGCAACTGCGAGATGAGTCCAAGAAGAATACTACGTGGTTCGTCATCGAGAACTTCTGTATCAGTGATATTAGCGTTCTCCTCGTCAGCCATCCCAGTTTTTCTTTTAAAATAGATTTAGATAGAAGAAATAATGCAAAGACCGTCGAAATAATATGATATAGCAATTGAAATATGAATGTATGGTAGTCTCATATCACCCTTGCTACTTGAAACTTTGGAATTAGGAAATGGGTAGGAATAGCAATGATAAACTACACTCGCGCCAATTGATAGTTTTATGCGCCGCTTGTGCCACAGTTTTTTTTGCAGGGACAATTTATTCGCCACAATTTGTGATACAGTATGCCACAATCAACTGTCAATATTAATACAGTTAGTATTAGTATCCGATTAGGTATAGTCCGCCCCCTATTTTTGAGGTCACAAGTTTGTAATTGTGATGCCAATTCGAAATAGGCACATCGCCTCAATATTATAACAACTATCAGCAATGCATTGTTTATAATATCCATGTCACAAGATTCTACAAAACAGTCCATATAAAAATAATGAAAACCCAGTTCACTTTCCAGTTGATGTATGTCCAAAGTAAAGCCCTTCTAAGACAATAGTGCCAGTGATAATATGATGACAAAAACAGCACTTGATTGACTGACGAAAATACAATCTAATCGTCACTTACACAGAGTAGACTAAATTAGTGGTTTTAAGAATTATGTTAAAACTACTATTCTTTTATATTTTGTTCTTCTGCACAATCAAAATGTATTCTCAACGAATTTCTGTGTGATTGTTATCACAAACGCAAATGATCGTATGACTGACTGACTCGCGCGCATTATTATTGCCAAGCACGTACTGTAGTTTGAACAAATTAACAAAAAAAATTAGACAAATGCACTTCAGAAGTTATATCCAAATAAGTGACATGCAGTTTTACTATGTTTTAGAGACAGATACGCGTATTTAAATTTACAGGTAATCAGTGTTTGTGATATACTGCATGCAGTCGAAGTTTTCAAGATTCTTATCTCAAATTACAGGGTGGTTAATTACTTATGTACAGTGGTCGTCATAGTATCCGAATTTTTATCTGGTGCAAGAAAATTTCACGTACAAGGGGGGTATCAAAGTATTGCACGCTTTTATTTTTGACAACAAAAAAATTTTTTATTAAGACAACAGTTAATTTTATTTTATATTCGGAAATAGTACTTTAGTATTTTGTATGTCCTCCATTAGCAGCGATCACAGCCTGAATTCTATTTGGCATTGATCGCACCAAG